AAGCTCAGCCTTGTTTGTAAACATTTGCAAATTTTTGTTTCTTTTTTCTATTTGATCAAAAAGTCCTTAATGACTGAATGACTTAATTGATTTGCACTAGAAATCGGTTGACAGGCCTTTCATACCTCCGTTTTTTTTTCAATTCTCTTCCAAAATTTTCTCTAAACTTTTGGGACGAGAAGTTGCATCAGATAAGTTTTTGACAAGGTATTATCAGAACAGAATAAAATTTTCCAAGATCCGCTCTTTGAAGACAAGAGCTTTTTGCCCTACTGATTGCCACTAAAAGGGACACATTTTGTACTAGGAATGATAACAAATGACTTAATTGATTTGCACTAGAAATCGGTTGACAGACCTTTCATACCTCCGTTTTTTTTTAATTCTCTTACAAATTCTTCTCTAAACTTTTGGGGCGAGACGTTGCGCCAAATGCATCTCTGACAAGTATATTTCCTAATGCATCTCTGACAAGTATATTTTCAGAACAAAACAAAATTTTCCAAGGTCCGCTCTTTGAATACAAGATCTTTTTGCCCTACTGATTGCCACCAAAAGTGGCAACATTTTTTACTAGAAATGATTAAGATTCGGCGCGTTATGTAAAGCCAAATGCCCGTTATGTAAAGTTTGTTGTTCAAAGCTTCGTGTCCGAAAAAAAATTCGTTATGCGCAGCATCCATTATACGTTTTGCGAGGTGTACAAATGTACCACTGTACAATGTTTATGAAGCATATTTAAGGACCTATACTAGAATCATACATTAAATAAATACACACTGCTTGTATGAAAAGTCCACTTTTATCTCTGTTTCACAGACATCCTTTTATCATCGATATTTCAAGCTAATAATCATAATTCTACGACAAAAATGATCAAAAATATAAAATTTCCGCATTTAATAGAATGCAACAGCAGATCAAAATATATAACTTTTGTGATATGCTGAAAATATATACTCAGCACTCATTATTATTATTATTACCCATTATGATATTAATTACATAATATCTGCATCCAAAAGAAAACATCAAGTTAATATACACAAATTAAAAAATAGCAGAAAAAACTTTCCACATAAACATACCATATATATAGAGACTCATAACAATTTTCATGCTGATGCAATTTTTTAATTTATCTAACTATTTATTTATCTTCAACGCAATTGATTTTTGGGTTAAAAAATATGATCATATGCATGCGGAATTCATTGAACAATTACAAATTAATTCAAGGCTATAAAAACGTTGTGATCCTTGGAAAAATTCATTGAAATGAAACTATAACTATACAAATAAACCTTTGCAAATCTTACTCAATAGCAAAATGTCTAGTAAAGACCTAATAAGATTGTATTTATGTTAATCGTTCGAGTTGCGCAAATAGTATGAAACAGATGTCTTCACTTTCAATTTATGGTCACGAGAGCAAAAACACATTCAGTGTTTTTTAGTATCTCTATATACACTGAAAATATGCTTTTTGTATAAGTAAAATATAAATTAAGATATAAAATTTATTTGAGAATAAGACTTATTTATATAGGTCACATTCATATTAAATATACGAAGGATATAAACTCGTTGTGGAAGAAACAACATTCTTAGCTAATAATTATTCTTTAGTAAATGATATCAACAGCATATCTCAGTAGCCATCTGAAATGATGAAACAGAAAAATGAAAATTTGTATATTATCTTTTTTTTTCAAAAAAAAGACCTTTAAAATCGTGTGTAAAATATTTAAATACTAGAGGGAGGCCGATTTGTTTTCAATCTACTTTTTTTTGGTTGTTTTCTGCGTTTTAAAATTCTAGGAATAATTTTATGGAATAGAATATATTGCATTTAAAATATTGTGGCCGATTATAATTTAAGATTGTAACCTTTATATATAAAAATATGGTTGCAGTACAAGATGAATTTTTAGTAAACTATTTTTTTTAGTAGAGTAGAGTCATAAAGTTTATAAATGGTGAAAAAAACGCATAGAAATAGCTTATTAAAAATTGAACCAGCAAACTAAAAGTATATAGGGAAATAATACATCTTAGAGAAAGATGTAACCAAATTGATAACTTAAATTTCAAAATATGAGATACGAGCGCTATCTGGATAAAGTATTCCAATTCCTCACAAAAATCAGCTTGTGCAATATGCTATATAATCATAAAAAAGCCCACATCCACAGAGTGAATTAACAAGTGAGTTATGCCACACCAAAAAACAAAATATAATAGTATAAAATCTCCAGTAAACGACTGTAGTTTTTAAGTTATTAAACAAATTATTATCAATCAATAAAATTTTCATGAGATAATTCTTTACGATGTCACGTTTACGCTTTTCGAAAAAATACCAAGAAAACTATTAGTAATTTGTTCAATGCGATTATATCTACATTATTAAATTTTTGCACTTTGTACATAAAATTTTATTACGCTTCTACTCCACTTGAGATAAAATGAGCAATTAACGTAATTTTAAGTGGAAGTAATATTTGTGACGGAAATAAAGAGAAATATGAGTATGTAAAATTTTTTTAAAAATAATGACAGTACAATTATGGTAAATTTCTGATTAAGAGAAAAAATCTAGTAAAGTGTGGGCCGAAGTTGTAGGAAGTTTAAGAGTACAATTGCTTGTGAAAGAAAAACTTGTTTTTATGATGCAAGGCGGCTTGTAATTTATGAAGAAACTCGTACATTTTACTTATGAAATTATTAATATATTATAACATAGAAAAGCAGTTCGATATTTGATATTATAGCAGTTTGTAAAAAATGCCGAAATTACAATCTTGCAATATAATATTCATAAAACTATTTCAAACAAAAATTTTAACTAGTGGCATCGTGCCTAAAGGCAAATTGCTGGAACTTTCCGTACCGTAACGTTATGTTCGAGGAATATTAAATGTTTTCAAATAGATTATTATAAATATTGTAATATTGTCTATATAAGATTGTATATATAAGAATCATATAAACTGAATTGCAAAGTTGAAATCATTTGTTTAAAGTATATTAGAACTTTAGTCAGAATTAAAAATAAAATCTGAATAATTTTCGATATACAAAAAAAATTTGAAAAAAATTGAAACAATTTGTTTTCCAAAAGCAATTATTTTGTTAGAACAAGCAGTAAGTTCTTTGAATCATTCACATCTGACGCTTAGTTCTCTCAATAACTGCCGTTTTTTGTACAATTAGCTCGGTATCTTCAAAACGGTTGGACCTGCCTTTGCCAAAAACTAATCACCTCTTCTCCCAATCATTACAAATTCAATGTTTTAAAGATCATTCATACTCCGTTCAGTAAAACTGGATTTGTATTTTCAGCACTCTTTGCTCCGTATCTCCGTAACAGCTGGACCTGCCTTTGCCAAAAACTTATCAGCACATCTTCCTATCAATAGCAATCGAATGTTTTTTGAACCATTCAAATCGGTTGATCCGTGCGCCCGAAAACGTAGACGAAAAATGCGGACATACAAAACACACACACATCATTTTTCTGAGGTATGCCAAAATGTTCAGAAACCTTCGAAACGTGAAGAAATGCAAAAAATTTCATTTTCAATTTTCGGCCTATTACTATAACAGGAAGTTAAAAATAAAATCTACAATTTTAGAATTTATAATCATCATATTTAATCAGAAAATTAGATTACAACGATCACAATAATTATGATCAATGATCATCTTCTTAAATTTATAGATTAAAATGTTTTGAACTAAAACTTCAAATGATTGATATATAAATACAACTTTAGTTGAATGAATATTAAAATGGTTTTGAAATAAAATTTTAAATGTGCTCAAATAAGCTCTGTGAAGGCTTTTCGCGTTAAGTATACTTTTTCTTCAAAGTTATGTGACTTAAATATAGAAAATAGTGCTTTTCTCATTTTATAAAATTTGTATTAACGTATATTCTTAATGGGATTTATTCAAGGAAAAAAACAAATTGAAAATAGAATATATTTGGTTTACTTGGAGCCTAATGAGCGTGGAACTGTAAAAGATTTGGAAGTAGACCTCTTATACAAATTTTAATGGTAAAGAAATAAAATAGAATTGGCAGTTATAAAATACCGTTTTCAAGTTTAAAAACTTTTCATTTATACAACCTAATAGTATTAGGACGTTATTAACAAAAAATTACATTTATGATATGTATGAAAAATATTTTTTCAATGACAATAACAAAAGTATAGTACCAATAAATTTATAGTTATATTTTTTACATTATGAAGGGCACTTTAACCCAACTAGCTACAACTAAAAGGTAAACACAAAACTATAACAAAGGTGTGATTAAATTTAGTAATTCAGATTATATACAATAAATTAAATAAATCATATAAAGTTTATTCATAATATAGATAAACGTGTTACAGCAATCTAAATCAAATATAGCGTTTACTCGAAGTTGATAAAGATGCAATAAAGAAATAATACAGACGCATTATATGAATCGAAAAATATTAGGTTAGAAAAAAGTACAATAAATTGTTACTGGTTTTTATGTAAAAATTATACGTTGTTGGGATAAAATTATTATTTACATTGCATACAAAAGTATAATAAGGTAAGTGTTAATGATTATAACATTGCGTGCTCTACTTGAAAAAAAGAGAAAATATAATTTAAATAAATAACCTTGTGCATATTGATATAAATTTGATAATGAACATGAATTAATAGAGCAATATTAAAAGCATTGTGCAATTGCACATGCACTTCAATTTGAATGATTCAATCACGTACTTTATAACTAACGTATTAGTTATTTACTGTGCAAGTTGCAACTTCGAGGTCGACATAAATATTTTAAATGATATAAATCATCTTTTATCAAAAACATGATCCAAGTTAAAAGCACTATTATAACTGTCAATAAACAGAGATATAATTCATGATTCAAAACTTGTGATATACTACCTAGAATTAGGTTAGGTCGATAAAGTAAAAAGATAAACAAATTAACAAACCTTTCCAATATTTTTCTTAGGAATAATACGACAAATGCCATGGGTATCGGATAAATTAAATCTCTATAATCTGCATGCTTAATAACATCACTGCTTTCCGGGGAAATATCATGCCATGTCGTATTAGGCGGTAACCAAACACTTTCTGACCAGAACACGTTAAACACAGGCCGCAAAACGTCGAACATTTTGTTATTTATTAACACTATAAACTTTACAAAATAATAAATTGATAGTTCTTGTTAAAAATCATTTTTGTTCTATAAACAAGCCTCCATTACAAAACACCTATTACTAAAATAATCGACTGACAGATGAAAGCGACCGCTTGTCTTGTGCCATTTTTTGTGTGGTCCGATTGAGCGCAGTGTTGTCGCAGGCGATAAATATATAGCCGAGGCTACACTGAAACAATAATACGACTAACGTCATAGTACATAACGTCATAATATTCATCAACAAATTAAACTAAACTAACAAAGTGGCAATGTATTTATATTAATAATACACTTCATTACATATTGATTGTATTCAAAACTTTATATTCAAATATAGTTCGCAGTTTTTTTAGATAGCGATTATTCTTGATGATTGTAGTCGTTTTCTTTAATCTATGATTATATTCATAGATAAAAGAAGAGTATGATTATATTCTTCTGAACTAAAAGCTTTTTTTCCAAAAATAATTTTAACCATATTTAGTTAATTTTACATTTATAAATATTTCCCAATGCTTTTCCAAGTCATGCCATAATCAGCATAAAAGAAACAATAATGAAAATTTAGTATATGTACGAACATAATTCCAAAGATAACTCAAAAGTTTTAATCATATTTTGGTTTGTATTTATTCACAATTTCAAAGGCTCTTATTATTATTACCTTTTGAATCAAAAAAATATTATAGCAAATAAATTAAATTAAACTAAAATTATTTTATATTAAACTACTGAAATATCGACCAAAGGTTTTTTTAGAATAACTGTTGGGTTTGAAGAGAATGAGAATGCTTGTTTTCATTTATCTTCTTCTCTTCAATAAATTAGTCTGTTTTCACATTTGTTGATTTTAGTATGCTATCGCGCACTCCTTTTTGTTTACATTATAATAATATCCATCCTTGTCCCTTCATCTTATTGTTAGACTCTTAAGATTTGCTTTCTAATATTTCTGTATATATTCAAATGTTTAGTACTGTGTCAAGCATTGTAAGATATAGTTCGTGTTTTTTGTTTTTCAAAAATTAAATATAATTTAAATATTAAATAACGTATTAGTATATAATTTTTACTTTTTGAAGTTACACTGAAGATGAGGCATACCATGGTCTCGAAACGTCTGTAATTATTAGATAGAGTGTCTGTTAAAAATCTGAGTGTTGTATATTATACAATATTATACAATATTGTTCATATTTAACATTTAATATTTGTTTCACTCATATCACAAAGGATATATATATATATATATATATATATATATATATATATATTAAACGGCATAGTCTGGGATCTGTAAATTTTTTGTAGAGCTTCGAACAAAAATTCCCAAAATAATAAAAATAAAAAAATAAATATTTTTTTTATTTACTGTCGACGTTTTGGAGCTAAATGCGATCCAGTTTCAGGACATCTATCAAAAAACATGATCTTAATGAAATTTAAACAAACAATATTATACTCAAAAACTCAAGAAGTAGAAATTGCTGAATTTTCGTAAAATAAATCAAATTGAGAAAGAAGGATATTGTATAAAACATGACAATATAATAACAATAAAAATAAATAAATGATTTATTTAACGAAATATTAGAATAATATCTAGAAAGTTTCAATCGATTAAACCCTAATCACTTTATATCACTAAAAACGATTTGTTCTATATTAACTTTTTTTTAACGATAAAGAACAATTTTTGCAATTCGAAAATTATATACAAAATATAATATAATATTTTTTAAACTAATTATATTATATATATACAACCTGGATCTGGTTTATATGCCCCACCCTTTTTAGCTGCAATTGTCAATATGAAATATTAGAAAGTGTAGACGACGCTAAAGTGTGGAATTTTTAGGTTAAGTTATTGTTGACATTTGTTTTGCACAATTTGTTTTATATTTGTATATATTCAATAAAATTTACATCATTCGTTAAGTAATTGAAATGTTTGAAGCTAATATTTTTTTTAAATCGTGCCATATTTTATCTTTAATTTAATATTTCTTTACTAAGTTATTATGCCCAAATCTAATTTTAGACTTATGAACGTGTGTGTAAGCTTTCTAGAGTTTTCTCATTTTATAAATAGATTTCTAAAATTATAGAAGCTGGTATTTATCAGTTTAGTGAAAAGATACCATACAATTAAATAAGGTTGATGTATAATAAAAAATAATAATATTTTAATAATTTTTTTAAAGTATTTACAATGTGTTCTAAATCTGAAGAAGCTCAGGATTATAAAAATAAGGGAAATGAATATTATCAAAAAGGCGATATTGATAATGCAATAAGTTTCTATACTAAAGCTGTACAATTAGCCGATGCCAATAGTTTTGATTTAGCATTATTTTTGAAGAACCGAGCGGCTGCTTATCTAAAAAAAGAAAACTATGAAAAAGCATTAGAGGATTGTGTTGCTGCTCTGGTTATTACCCCCACAGACCCCAAAATATTATTCAGAAGTTGTACATCATTAGAAGCATTGGGTAGATATGAAGAAGCTTATCGCGATGCTAGGGCAGTTTTAAAGTCTGATCCTTCTAATAAAGCTGTGGTACCTGTTTTAGAACGATTGCACAAGAAAGTTCAAGAAAGAGCTATCTACAATGCTCAAAAAACCAATAAAGCTACAAAAATGTTTGATTTGGCTTTTGATTTAAACAATGTACTCGACAAGCGACAGAGCGCTATTAATAACATACTTGTGCTCGTACGTGAGAAAGGAGGTGCAGAAGTATTGGCTGAAATGGGGATTGTTCAAAAAATGAGGTCCTTGTTGAAAGTTGAAAAGGATCATGAAATTATTGTTAATAGCATTCGCATCATTGGTGAATTGTGCCAAAATTCTATTGAAAGAACTCAAAAAGTTCTTGAAGTATTAGGGATTCCTTGGTTTTTAGATATATTAAATTGTAGAAAAGAAGATCAAATTATGGCCTCGCAAACATGCATGCAAACCATCTTAAACACATTTTCAGGACTGCAGAATAAAGAAGATTCAAAGCCTGATCAAGCACTGTGTGAAAAATATAAATCTGAAATTGATACTCTGCTCACATGTCTCGTTTATTCAATAACAAATCGCATCATTTCAGGAATGGCAAGGGATGCCATTATAGAGTTAATAATAAGGAATGTGCATTACACAACGCTTAACTGGGCTGAACGTCTAGTTGAAATAAAAGGTTTGGAACGTCTTATGGAAGTGACTAGTGAACTAGAAGAATACAAATATGAAAGTTGTATGGAAATAACTCCATCGTCAAGAACTATTGCTGCTGTATGTTTGTCCAGAGTTTATGAAAATATGTATTATGATGAAGCTAGACAAAGATTCATGTCTCACATAGATGAATTCATCAAAGAAAAATTATTAATACCTGACATTGAATCAAAAGTGCGTGTTACTGTATCAATTACTTCATTACTTCAAGGTCCACTAGATGTAGGAAATCAGGTTATTTCAAAGGAAGGTATTTTGGAAATGATTATTGTAATGGCTGGTTCTGATGATAAATTACAACAGAAAGTAGCATGTGAGTGCTTAGTAGCTGCAGCTTCTAAGAAAGATAAGGCCAAAGCGATTATTGATCAAGGCATTAATATTTTAAAACGTCTTTATCAGAGTAAAGATGACAGCATACGAGTGCGAGCATTGGTTGGTTTATGTAAGCTTGGCAGTTCGGGCGGTAGTGACGCTTCTATAAGACCGTTTGCAGATGGTGCTACATCCAAACTTGCAGAAGCTTGCCGCAAATTCTTAGTAAATCCTGGAAAAGATATGGATATGAGAAAATGGGCTGCTGAAGGTTTATCCTATTTGACATTGGATGCCGATGTTAAAGAAATGTTTGTATCTGATAAACCAGCCTTACAAGCTATGATAGAGTTAGCAAAAACCGGAAATCAATCTGTTCTGTATGGTGTTGTAACAACTTTTGTAAATTTATGCAATGCATATGATAAACAAGAGTTAGTTCCTGAACTTGTAGAACTTGCCAAATTTGCTAAACATCACATACCTGAAGAACATGAATTAGACGACATTGATTTTGTTAACAAACGATTGTCAATTCTAGCAAATGAAGGAGTAACTACAGCTCTAGTGGCACTATCGAAAACGGAAAGTGATAACTCTAAAGAACTAATTGCTAGGGTGTTCAATGCAATATGCAGTCAGCAGGAGTTGAGAGGTATTGTAGTTCAACAAGGTGGTACAAAAGTACTCTTACCAATGGCATTAAAAGGAACTGCTAATGGCAAACGGCAAGCTGCTCAAGCATTGGCTAGAATTGGTATCACAATTAATCCAGAAGTAGCATATCCGGGGCAAAGAAATTTAGAAGTGATTCGACCTTTATTAAGTCTTCTACATCCAGATTGTTTAGCATTAGAAAATTTTGAATCTTTAATGGCTTTGTGCAATTTGGCTGCTACCAATGAAGCAATCAGACAGCGCATATTAAAAGAAGGTGGTTTATCTAGAATCGAGGCAATGCTTTTTGAAGATCACATGATGATTACAAGAGCTGCGACACAGGTAAATAATAAATAAGGTTTGGTTGATACTTTCTTCAAAACCCATTGTATTGGTTTTATGTAAATTTGCCTAATAATCCTAGAAAAATTATTAAAAAGTTACTTGTGCAAAGCTATGTAATTTCAATTACAGGTTCTTAGAAATTAATTTATTTTGTTCTTTCATAGGTACTTACTAATATGGTCATGTCACCAGATGTTGTGAAGATTTATGAAGGTGAAAACGATCGCACCAAATTCTTATTTCTTTTGGGCCTGGAGGAGGATGAAGCAACAAGTGAGGCGGCTGCAGGTGCAATTGCTATGCTCACTAGTGAGAGTGAAATTTGTTGCAGGAAATTGTTTGAGCCTACACAATGGCTGGACGTATTTCACTGTTTACTGGCTAATCCTAATCCTGGTATACAGCATAGAGGTATCAATGATAAAATATAATTAAATAAATATAATTATGACTAGTAGCTACTGGTACAGACCACATACAAATGTATATGAATTCATTTTGTTCCAGGTTTATTTATTGTACAAAATATTATTAGAAATGATAAAACCAGCGCTGAGAAGCTGTTTGCTGCTGACATTTTGGAAATACTAATGGCTTTATCAAAAATGGAAATACCAAATGGTGAAAGTAAACAAGCAGTAGTAAAATCTTTTGCTGACAAATGCTTAAAAGATGCCGAAGCAGCTGGTTTCATTAGAAAACCCACAAATGAAGAATTAAATTCTACTGAACAAGAAAACATTGATGATAATTGATTTATTGATCAATCATGCAGGCAAGTATTTTATGTAAAATTGATATGTGTGATAAACACTATATAAGATTTCAAACGTATTGTTACTAAAGAACTGTATTTTATAGATCAAATTTTATAAATATTATTGTAAACATCATTAAAATATATTTTATATAAATTTTATGTCCGTTTTCAATATTCTGACATAATTACTATATTCGTACTAATAGATTGCAATTAATCAAATATCATTTTATTTAATTTAGATTATCATAAATGATGCTACAGAAATAGATTAATTTAATATGTTCAAATATTACACATTTTTGTGTGTTTTGCGTACTAATATAGCTATCAAACCGAAAATTTAACATTTAATATTCCAATATAAATAACCTATGTTTTCTTAGTTATTATAAATAATGTTGTCATTATTAAATTTAATTGTTGGATGTTTTGAATACAAAAAGAAAATAGAATCACTTTCGTTCTTACATACATATAATTTGAATACAAGCATGTCGGATTGTTTATTCTAATTTCTAGAGGTAAAATATGGGGATGAAATATCACTTGGCCTGCTCGTTTTCTTATATACTTCTCTAACTTTTATGGGATACTATTCTTCTCTTACTATGCGATACTATTCTTTTCTTAAATAGAAATAGAGGGCTTATTTTGTAATAACTATTTAATTTTATTATTTATTTGCTTTTTTTTATTAATTTAGTATTTGATATATATAAATATATACACCTAAGTCTGTTTTTACATGGTCTTTTTGTACACGGTTTTGATATAACACGGTTTGAAAATAGAATATTTTTAATTTTTTTTACACGATTTTATTCCATTTAGCACGATTTGAAATGTTATGTACTTAAATTTTTTTTGTCAAATTTAATTTTTTCGAAGTATGTTCATATCACAAAAAAGTATTTATGAAAGAAAAAAGTCTGAAACCATCGATAGTATCGATAGTTTGCGAACACTAGTTTAAAGATTTAAGTGAATTCCCCTTTAGCGCGAACAAACAATTTTTACTGGTCAAAGCAAATGTGAATAGCACTAATTTAGGGAAACCTTAAAAATTGAATAACCTATTCTTTTCGTTCACAACATAGTTTTTTAGTTCCTGAACTTGCCATACATTTAATTTATATTACTTTTAAGATTAGAGTGCATAACTTTTTTATCATTAATTACTATGCTTGTGAAAATAAGCATTATATATTTGATTTAATAAATAAACATGAATTCTTGTTCTTAAAAATTCTTGTTTTTCACTAATTTTAATAGGTTTTAGAGATTAGGAACAAATCACCCATTTTTGTATAAGATCAATGTCTTTTTTTACACGGCTTCTTCTGGAACCAATCTACCGTGTAAAAACAGACTTAGGTGTATATATATATACTGGATTACAGCAGCACATAAAGTGAAGTTAAATAATTTTTAATTGAAAAAGTAGTTTACTATTATTAAGGAAAAAAATGTGTGATCTTGTATATATATATGCAATAAAACTCCGTTAAGACGATTTCCCACAGATCTGGTCAATAATGCGTCTTAAACGAGAAACAGTATTATAGGGGATAGAAACAATATGTTTAATGGTGCAGTGACCGCTATAAAGTGGGGTATTATGGGACAAATCGTATAAGGCATTATCGTATTCAGGGTTAGTCCTACCCTGAATGAAATGCGGGCGCAACGTCGAGGGGGCGCCATCACACGTAGTTTTTCACATAATTTTAATGACAAACTGTGAAAACAGTTAAAAATAATAGAGGAAAAGGGGCGTCAAGGAAAAAATCGCATGCGTTCGCAGCGTAAGTGTTAATTATTAAATTAATTAAATGTCTTTAATTAAATGTCTTAATAAACATGATTTTCGTTGATATCTATCTATGTATTTGTTATTTTTAATAAATACATAACAGAATTGTTCATACATTCGATTATCCGGATTTTTGATTATCCGAATGCCTATCGGCAACGATTATCGAGTTTTTACTGTACATATATGTGTTACTTTCGTTAATAAAATAGGAGAATCATAACACTTAAGAAATTCTAGTTTTAATTGTATGTACGTTTCGGTATACATCTAGACAATAAAATAAATTTAAAAAATCCAAATAGTTACAATTTAGAAATTATGTTAAACATGCTAAAAATATAAGTACATATTTACAGTATTTAAAAATTGTACATCTAAAAGTGCATAATTACAAAGTCTGAATTAATTGTTTTACCCGAGATTTTTAAAATATTACTCTATGGTTTGGCAATAAAAGATTCAGAAGGGTAATAAAAATGCCACTGTTTATCAAATTTGCAAAATAACTGATACAAAAATATAATTATATTTTTACAATAATATAAAGTATAAAATGCATATGTAATTATAAAATTATAAAGGTCGTTCAATGGCGTAATGATTTAACCAGCTGCCTTGCGAGGACGGGGTCGCGAGTTCAAAACCCCGCTCTGGACAACCTGAGGTCATGCAGCAGCGATGTCTATTTTTACTTGAAATATGTTTCGAGTTGAAAATAGCCCATTTTAGACACTGCGGTGTCAAATGGCATTGGGAAATCTCTCTCAAATAGAGTTGTAGTTCAACTCTCTCTCTCTCTCCATATATATATATATATATATATATATATATATATATATATATATATACACACCTGTGTGTATATTTGCAAGTACATATGGATATATGTATAGTATGCATGTGTATAAATTTGTGCGCCTTAGATGTGATGTTTTTGTATACATATGTTGGCAAGGGCGCTTGCGAAGCTTATTTCTACAGGTAGGTAAACGCACTTCAGACATGCATACTAGGTATGGATACAATTTTACGAATGTCGACATCGATATCGAAACTATATACTACATACGTTTCTTATTTTGTAAACTTTATAAAATTATCATAATTATACCATAAGTATAGGGTTAACTTCTGTAAGTATGAAATTAAAATAATAATAAATATAAGTACTATCTAAGTTTTAAATTGAAATCGATACAAGTGTAACACTACATGGATGTTGTTATAAATTTCAGATTTTTTACATTTCTTCTTGCAAAAGACAAAAACAATAGTAGCGGTGTTAGGCGTCGGCATACCGCCAACGGCCACGCAAAGTCGTTAAGCAATTATTCAAAAATGGTTTAATCATTTCATTGGCAATAAATCGCATTTACTCATACAGTTATTTAACTATAATTTGGTTTGTGTGATTTAACGTTATCTTAACTGAAAAAAGTGAGGTCTTTGCAAACTCTAATTTTGCCGATGAAAAAAGGAGTATTGTGATTAAATTTTGTTCGAAATATATAAAACTATGGACAATATTTTATATATATATATATATATATATATATATATATATATAGTAAACAAAATCCCCAGTCTCGCTAGTTTTACAGAAAATTTGGAACGAGCGAATGTACAAATCTATATAATGTAACACAAATAATTCGATGGAATTACAAATGATATAGTATGCGCTCACAGTTTTCAAAATTTTTAATAAATTTCGTGCACTACAAAAATTTAAATTAACATTGCTATAAAACTTATTAACTTCCCGAAGGAGTTTATGTTTTCATCAAAAAATCCGATTTGCTAATTTTATGTTTTCTCGACGTTTCAAGCCATTCTGAATCGAATGAGACCAAATTTGGAAAAAGTGTGTGTGTGTGTGTGCGTGTGCACCAACAGATTTTTTGCCGTAAATCGCCGTTTTCTCAAAAACGGCTGGACCGATTTCAAAAATTTAAAAGCCATTCGATGTATCTCGATGAGGACTATTGTTTGTCAGTTTTGTGCGACGATCGGCCAAGTTTCTTCGTAAATAGCAGAGAAGTGAAAAGTTTCTCGTCCACGTTTTAGCCTGCAATTCTGAATCGATTTTGAAAATTCAAAAATCGTTCGAAAGATATTGGTTGGGAATCGACCTGATTAGTATTTGGTAGAGATCGGCCGGGCCGTTTTCTTGTAATAAAGTTTTTAAAAAAAATTTCGACGAATTTTATGATTATTTTTTTCACGGTAAATACCATAGTCTTCTAGTTTCTATTTTTATCATACCTGATTTCAAAATTTCGATTTTGTCGATGCATTTGACCACCCCTAGCAGTTAACCTGTCAGCGGTGTGGAACGTACACAGGTGTTCGACACAGGTTTTTTTTTTTTAAAGATGGATAAAATAGTTTATATAAAACTTTTTTAATAAAATTCTTTTATATAAACTAGTTATAAACAAAGATAAAGGAGAAATATAAACAATAATTTATGTATTAGAAATAGCTATAATAATTGTATTAACTGAAATTCTTTGATAATCATATAAATTTGTAATAATTTTTAAAATTTTTATAATATAATATATTTTCTATAATTATACCAAATAATAAATAATTTTGCTTAAAAATGTATTAATTTAGAAATGAGGTAAAATTCATTTGATGAGTGAATGATATGATGATAATATCTGGTCCACCTATTCTGAAAATGTTTTTTACCTCACATTCTCTCGACGGCTTCAGCGGTCTTGCTTTAACAGCCAGCGCACATAGATATATGTGAGAATATTTTATATGTATTGTAAATTATAAGAACAAGGCAAAAGCAAAGAAGAATGTTGGATCACAAAAATCAACTGGCATTCTGGTCTGCAACACCGTTAGTTTAATGATACATAATATGTACATTTTTAATGTTTATTCGCAAATAAACATATTTATCAAGTTTATTTATTAAATATTGTTGTGCAAAGTGCAAAATGAGTTCATCATCAATTCAGTTTCCGAGTGCTCTAAATTGTTTCTGTATTAATTCCAAGTTTGGATCATGTATAAAATAAAAGTGTTTGTGTGTATTGTTTCAAGTTTAAAGTTTAGAAGAATTGTTGTTAGAACCAAAAACAGTGTTTACATATAGTTGCAATGTCACAAAGGGATTATTCTGAGGTAAGCATATCTCTATACAAATAAGTTTATACAAACTATTTGTATAAATTTAATAAATTGCATATTTACTCATATATATATATATTTACTCATATATACTTTTAAAATTACTTTGCAGGTCTATATACCCTTAATTGTAGAGCATCTAACATTCCCATACGTTAAGTATCACATCTCAAGAATATTGTGTTAGAACACAAAAACATAAAAAAGTAACTTGCCTACTGATATTAATCTAATAACAATTTTAAAATATGATATGTTTCTAAGTTAGTCGACCTATAAAGTTCTGTCATTTTGTAATGTTGATATAGAAACAGTGCTTTCAATGATTTATTTTATTTGTTGATCTCACTTATGTATTACAAGTTTTTTAGTATTTAAAGCAAATTTAGCAAATCTGTTACTTTTATCCATGAAGCCTCTAATTCTTTTTGGTAAAACTGTTACACATCATATGAATTTTTCGTAGTCCCAGACTCCCGAGGCAAAGAACCGCGAAAGACCGACATGGTAAATAAAACATTATGGATCCTATTTGAAATTTCCTGTAAGGAACCTTAAAACCTGATTCATGTCGGCATACAAAGCAAACACTAATTAAGTCAACATATGCATTGCGCCCACTAATCTCGCCGCAACGTCGAACAACAAATCTTGAAAAATAATAATATAGTCAAGTTAAGTCAGACTTAAGGGTTGTCTGCACCATCGACTGAAATATATACATTTATGTTTTATAATGCAATGCACCAATTCCAATTGTAGAGTCGGCCTACATTCACTGATTTTTTTTAAATATTATGATAATATAATTAAATATATTATCGTTTTTTATTTTACAATTTCCTTAATAATTAATTATTTTTGAATGCTAGAAAATTACTAATAAAGTCAAATGTTAAATTTGATGTGTAAATAGTATTTTGATAGTAGAATACCCTATATTGCAAAATATATTAAAATATGATATGTAAAGTATAAGATTGTGATACAAAAATGATTGAATTACTATATTCTGTGCTTTTTCGTTTTTTTTAAATTATGGGCATTTTTAGAGTTTTTGTGCAAAAAATAAAAAAACTCAAAAATTTATAGAGTGACTGAGAAAAGTTCTTGATTTTCTGATTATTTTATATATAAGATTGGTTTTTCTACAAGTGTTTAATACACTAATGAAAAGTCGTATATGGGTAAAAATAATGAAAAATAAATTTAAAAACCGCGATTATTTTATACCCATTCACTTTTAAGTCAGTAGTTACTGAGCGAGTAAAGAATAGAAAATTTAACAAAAAAAAAAACTTTACTGTTTGTGGTTTCTGGCAGGACGAAAACATCATTAAACCATTTATGGTCCCAGCAAAGTCAAATGATACTTTGCCTATGCTTCGCCCCTATAATTTTCTACCTATATACAACAATATAAAATGTGGTTTTCGTTACTTTTCGTTTACCTTACGAATGCGTAAAACTTAACAGTAACGATAGAGCCTTATGTATAAAATATTGTTATTTTAATTTATTTAAAAATATCTTTCATGAATTTATATTTTCTTTACATGTAAATTTTGTATAATCTTATAGAATATTATGCTTATATTAACACACTATAATTCTACAATTTTTTAAGCTCAAACTTTAATATGACTGAAATAAAAATGATAAAAAATAAATTCTTCAGAGACCTGTAAACATATATAGTATTTGGACATTTACAACTACTTCAGCACATATTATTATTTAAAAATAACTCAGAAAATTTATACATATGCACGTTGTTTTAAGATAAACTATATTGATTTTCCACATGTAATCAAAAATTTTATTTCATTATTTCTAGGTGGAACCGCAAGGAACTTCAGAATTGCCAGCAGCTAGTCAATCTTTATTTTTGGAAAAGGTAAACAAAGGAACGAACATAATTTAAAAAACATTGATGTATTTGTTCATTAGTTATATACAATTATATTACAACGGTACGTTATAACATTATTGAATTAAATTTAAATCATGCTATATTAGCTCTTAGCCAAAATTAATTCTATTCCATACCATAAAAGTATTTATTTCTGCTCCAAAATAATATAATCCACATTCCTGCATCGTAGGATAATTTAATATGTTTTTATTCAAATGTTGAATCAGTATTTTATAGATTAAGGGGCGTTGCTCTACTTTCTCTCTGTTGTAGAACATATTATTATTAACAAACTTTTCAGAGATATATTTTTTATATTATTTTTAGAAGCGTTTTTTTTTCCTGTAAAGCATATAATTGATGTCTGTTTCGGATATTTTCTTACTTTATGTTAAAGGTTTGATCCAATAAGTAGTAGATATACATCAGAATTTTCTTTATATAAGTAGTATTTTGGTCAAGGGACAAAATAAAATAAACTCTACTAATATTATAAAAAGTTTAGTTTAAAGCGAAAATTATTTAGTAAACATCCAATGAATTGAAATTAACAGCTGCCTAGTTACGCCCACGTATATAATAATATATTTCTATTTTATACAAAAATGAAATTTTAAGATATAACTATCTGAAACAAATCCTTAATATTTCTGCAATGTAAGAATAGTGTTTAAATATTATAATTATTTTTTATCAAGGTGAGGCAGTCAAATGCTGCATGCGAAGCAGGTGATTTTGCTAATGCAGTAATACTTTACACAGAAGCTCTAAGTTTGGATCCCACAAATCATGTTTTATATTCTAACCGTTCTGCAGCACGAATAAAGCAAGGACATTTTTCTTTAGCACTGCAAGACGCATGCAAAGCTAGAGATTTATGTCCGACATGGGCAAAAGGATGCTACAGACAAGGTAAATCTCAATCAATCGTATATGTCACTTGTATAGTGAAGCAGAAAACATTGATCAAATAGATACTTGTGAGACATAATTATATTACCCATGCAATAATAATTCTAACAAAAAGTAATAGTGTTGGATACAAATTAAAATTTTTGGCAATTAAATTTTAAAAACCATAGCGTGTGTAGTGTTGTTCTTCAACAAATATGGTTACTTTTCATTTTCAAATTATTATATTAATTTATTAATCTATATTAATAATTTAGGTGTAGCATTGCAATGCCTAGGAAGGCACGACCAAGCCTTAGGAGCTTTTAGTGAAGGTTTGGCGAGGGAGCCCAATTCAGAGCGGCTTTTATCCGGACTGATTGAGGCCTGTGAGAAATCACCCCTCGCCGGTAAACTGAGACCAACATTTGAACAACTCAGAACAATGGGCTTGGGACAAAGTCCTTTCGTCGTTATATCAGTAAGTGTAAATAATTTATATGTTTATAAAGGCAACTGAGTATTATAGATTTGACACCCAATTGAACTGTGATATCTTATCATTGTGTCTCAGAATCAAACATTAGCTGGCAGAAGTAAATGCATCATTAGTAATAGTAATACTAGACTTCGAAGAAATTTACTTAATTCTAGGTTCTGCAATAATAGAAATATCCATGGATACCTCCTATTCAATTTAAAAACATACATAAGCAACGTCATTACATATATTCAGTGGCGTCGAAACCTTGTGGGCTGTGTGGGCTTGAGCCCACCCATCAATCTCAAAAAATAAAATGCCCTAGTATGTATTTCTAAAAAAAAAACAACGAAGCCACTGGCTGTGTATAAAAAAAAACAAGCCCACCCATCAAAAATTTGCTTCCGACACCACTGCATATATTGCTTTTGCGCATTTTGTTGTAGACGAAGCTTTTGGAACAAGATTATGCGCTACCACCTGTACCTTAATATGAAAACAAAAACTGAAAACCAGTGTTTATTTAACCATATTTTTTTGATTATTATAATGTTTTTATATTTTATTTATATATTATTGATTATAAAAATATTACTTTATTAAATTAAAGCTTGAATAGTTGAAATATTTTTAAATATTTGTCAGTTAAATAATCGTAAAAGTACTGAAATATTTATTATTGATTATATATGGATTTGAAATAAGTTTAATTTGCTGCTTTCAAAACTACATACCTTATGGTGCTCAAAATTAAAGTACTCTTTATGTACTATAGCAACAAAAGTAAAAGTTATATCATACTTTTGTTTGACATTAATTTTATAAATGCGTTGATATTTCAAAATATCTTGTGATGCATGTTATTTTGTTAATAGCTATTGTATAATCATATTGCAATCGATATGATTGTAATTGATTTTTGATAAAAACTTGTTCGACTAAAATTAAATTTAAAGAAAATAGTATAGGATATATGTAAAAGATAGTATTGATTGAAAAAAAAATTTTGTAAGGGCTCTAAGTAAGCGAAGCCAATAAAAAAAAGAGTTAAAGTTTAGTATACTTACTTCAGGACTATTTTATCCTAATTTAATTTTAGTCTGTCTAATATACAACTTATATCACTTTTCAGGTAGTGGGTCAAGAACTTTTGGCAGCAAGTCATTTTCAATCGGCTGTAGTAGTACTGGAATCCGCTCTGAAGATCGGTTCCTGTTCATTGAAACTGCGGTATGATCTTTTTCAAATTCAATTTGGTTTAAAATTTAAATTCCCAAGTTTTTGTTTATAAGATATTTTTATTTTTAATAGCGGTTCAGTGTATTCAGCTTTGAGTTCTGCATATTGGGCGTTGTCCCAGCTTGATAAAGCCATATCATGTATGCAACAGGACTTGGCTGTTGCAAAATCGTTAGGTGATACTAGAGGTGAATGTAGAGCACATGGCAATCTAGGATCCGCTTATTTTAGTCAAGGAGCAAATAAAGAAGCTTTAACCGCACATCGACATCAGCTTGTACTAGCAATGAAAAGCAAGGTATGTTTTTTTAAAATATAATAATCTTAGAAATTAAAATCAGTTTAGTAGGGCTTCTCATAACTAAAAGCTAGATATCTTTATTGCAAGCGTATCTTATAGAAATTCGTATAAAGTTTTACTGTAACATAATAAAATTTTCATATTATTGACGTGGGATATGGTTATACATAATCGTTTATACTAGTTTTATATCAAATTTTGATTTAAAATTGATTAATACTTTGCTTTTGTCTTATGTTGCTTTCATGGTATTATTTTTTGTAAGAAAAAAATTGGAAATATGTTTCTTAAATACTTAAAAATTTTCTATAATTTTTTATAATATAGAAGTATTGTATAATCGAAACAAATCAGAAATAGTATAATCTGTGCTATGTTATGATCTGTATCGTGATATCAATTGCCATTTAGATGGATTTGGATCGAGGAACATTTATACAAAATCAAGTAATTTTTCCGAAATTTATTGTTATAAATATTTTAAATTCTTTTAAATATATTGTTCAAATTAATAAATTAGCAACTTTAACTCTTTAAGTGTTTATTTTTACTATTCTTGCGCTAGAGGATAAATAAAATTTTTGCTTTATTTGTTATATATGTGTTTACTTCAATTTAAAGCAAATACCAATTATTGGTACAATATTCATTTTAGGATATGCAAGGGGCAGCTATGGCACTAACATCTTTGGGTCATGTGTACACAGCTATTGGCGACTATCAGAATGCTCTCGCCACCCACAAGCAATGCGTACAGTTAGTAAAACAATTAGGTAAGTTTAAAGAACATATTATTTATGTAATATGTCATTATAAATGCTACTTTTTTGGTACAAATTTAGGAGATCGACTTCAGGAAGCGCGAGAGATTGGTAATGTGGGTGCAGTTTATTTAGCAATGGGAGAATTCGATTCGGCTGTAGATTGTCATACGCAACATTTGAGGCTAGCTAAACGATTAGGAAACGTGGTATGTAAATACATCACATACATCTATACAATTCATCTTGCAATAAACTAAGATATCGAACTATTATCATTTATGCAATCATCGAACTTATTAGTATATCTCTAGTCTATTATATGTAGACAGATTGAACAATATTTAACCCCTAACGAACGAGTGCCGCCATACTCGCGACATTGTAAATATTCTAAAATAATTTAATGCCGCCATACACGTGGCATGACATACCAAGAAGATTTTTGGGTTTCTCTTTCTGTAATTTCAATATAGGCACGATGCAGTTAGAAAATAAATTTGAATGGTCAACAAGCAATATTAGACAAACTAAACAAATCCAATAATGTAATATTAATTATGCTACTTCTCTATCTTTGGAAAAGGAGCACTTAATTTTTTAAAAATCCGTCGAAAACTATGCCCAGTAGTTATAAGCAATGCGCTCGTTTGTTAAAGGTTAATAAATGTAATAAAATATTTAGACTATAGGTCTAATATTCGTACCCAGTTAAACTAGCAAGTTTTTTTTAGACCGAAGAAGCTCGCGCTTATTCGAATTTGGGCTCTTGTCATCATCACAGACGAGACTTTGCTCAGGCAACGTTGTGCCATGACAGGGTTTTACATTTATCTCGATCTCTTCGGGATCGATCTTTGGAAGCTAGAGCTTGTGCTGGACTAGGACATGCATCCAGGTGCGCTGGACAACTGGACAGGGCAAAACGATGGCATGAACGGCAGTTGGACGCCGCTTTGGGAGCCAAAGATAAGGTAATTATTATATACATATTGTGACAAGTGGGGGTTGAAGCCCCCTTCTTGGGGATTGTAATGGCTGCCTAATACTATATTTTAGCATTGCATCCCCATTACGAAAGGGTTACTTCGACACTTCAGTCGCCCGTTAGAGTACCTGTAATTACCTGTAGGAGTTAGTAGCTACTATGCGAATGAAACCAAGATTACTTTTATAACTAAATCTATTTAAATAATTAATAATACATCTCGTATGTATTTGTGGAACTTGACTGTACTTGCATACAGTCAATGTTTCCTAACTAATACCTTTTATTCTTATATCTGCTTATATAAATGCATGGGGGAGAATAGCTACAGCTTATAATTTACATGATCTGACCTTTAAGCTGGACCTGTCTTGTGGCACAACACACACAACTAACACTAACGTATCCCAAGGCGTTCGCCTATGAGATACGTCTTAGATGGCTGTAACTTCTTAATTGCACAGGCCCTCAGAGCAACTCACTGATGGACCCCAAGAACCAATAAATGGTTAAGGGTAGGGATGGTGTACTTTGGGGTGGACGACCATCAGGCGACAATAATTATCAATAACACGATAATATTGATTATTGTCACAATATATACACACATATATTGATATTATAATTTTATAACAATATAGAAAAAATCAATTTTACTAATAATAGAGATCAATCAATCAAATTTATTATCAATATCTAACAAAGTCACTGGTGTTCCACTGATCTACCATCGCTTTTTGACCTAATACAATAACATATTTTAAAAATTATAGTAAATATTATATATTTATGTTAATATTTGATGTAACCATGATAATGAAGCAAAAAAAATTAAAATTATAATTAATAGTGATATAATATAATATATAGAAAATAGTATATGAGAGAAAAGAATATAAAAAATCCTTACAATATTAACTATTTATAATATAGTATAGTATAATAAAACTATTGCTCAAATAATAAATATAATATATCTTTATTTATAGTATAATATAAAATAGTTAAGTAAACAAAAATAACTCGACGTTATACTATAATTTTATACCAATCAGTAAACATTTGTGTTAACAGGTGGGAGAAGGAAGAGCCTGTAGTAATCTCGGAATAGTATATCAATTGATGGGAGAATATGATGCTGCATTGAAACTTCACCAAGCGCATTTAAACATTGCTCGCCAGTTACAGGTTCGACCATTTATACATATTATAAACAAAATTTATATAACTGCTGATTATGTTCTTCTGGCGTACTTCTTAATATAAATATTGATTCAATATATTTTTGCCACAATAAAATAGCAATAACTTCATTGCTTACTGGTAATAGTAATACATTACGAAATACATATATAGGTTTTGAATTGAATAATATGTTTAATTAATCTATTGAAATAACATGATAAACAGTTAAATCGGTTGATCCGTGCGCCCGAATTGTGAACGAAAATTGTATCTACACAAAACACACACTTATACATGCATCCATTTTTTTTTTTATAAGGTATGCCAAAATGTTCAGAAAGCTTTCAAACCTAAAGATATGCAATAATTTACATTTTCGATTTTTTTTGCTATTACTATAACTTACACTACGAGAAGTTAGAAAAAATCCAAATTTTCAAAAAAAAATCAAACTATTAACCCTTTCCACTCGAATGTCGCCGCTCCGGCGGCAAAATTCACATTAATCTCGGAATTAGCGAGTGGAAAAGGTTAAATGTTTCAAAAAAGTTCAAAATTCTCAAAATCTATTTTTTTTCAAGTTTTAAAGAACGGATAAAATGCTATTATTATTTATTATAAATTTTTATATATGATATTCTTTCTTAGGATAAAGCAGGTATGGGAAGAGCGTATGGTAATATAGGGAATGCTTATTCTTCTGCTGGTCTTTACGAACCTGCCATAAGACATCACAAGCAGGAACTTGCTATAAGCCAAGAAGTAGGTGATAGATATTCAGAAGCATCAACACATGGAAACCTTGCAGTGGCATATCAAGCTTTAGGAGAACACGATATGGCCTTGCTGCACTACCGAGCTCATCTAGGTAAAGTTACATAGAAACTATAAATTACAATTTTTTCCGATGGTATTAGTTGTTTATTACATTAAATTTAATTGTTTAATATATTTTATTTTCAGGCATTGCGCGCGAAATGAAAGATACTTCTGGAGAAACCTGTGCTTTGCTGAATTTAGCAAACTGTTTGTCATGTCGTGGTGATTTTGCACAGGCCGTACCATATTATGAACAAAATTTAGCGTTATCCCAAGAAATGGGAGACGTAGCCGCAGAAGGTAAAGCATGCCATTTCTTGGGATATGCTCATTATTGCTTAGGCAACTATAGAGAAGCAGTTAGGTGAGTTATTTAATTTAGTGTCTAACTTATATTTTGATCTAAAACTTAATTTAAATACTATATGATATTAATATATTTATTTTATAAATATCGCTTGTGGTATTTAATTTTAATATCATTTATTAATTTCACTTATAGATATTATAATCAAGATTTGACCTTAGCGAAAGATCTGCAAGATCATGCCGTTATGGCTCACGCATATTGTAATTTAGGCTTAGCACATCTGGCTTTAGGTCATTTAGAAACAGCGCTGGAATGCCAAAAATATTTTTTAGCCATAGCTCATATGACACAACATCAACAAGGAAAATTTAGAGCGCTGGGAAATGTCGGTGACGTGCTAGTAAAAATGCAAAATGAAGAAGAGGCGTTAAAAATGTACCAAAGACAATTAGAATTTGCAAGACAGGTAATGAGAAGTAATTTAAGATATTTTTATAAATAGATATATTTTATTGGTTTTTATCAATTAGACTCAAGATCGGCATTTAGAAGCACAGGCCTGCTCTTCTCTTGGTCGTGTATATCGGCTTCAAGAGAGATACGATTTTTCTTTAGCACACCATACTCAAGAATTATCCTTGTTACAAGAATTGGGAGATGCTCGGGGCGAGTGTAGAGCACAATCTGCACTTGGTGCTATACATATTGCTCTAGGTCATTATACACATGCGTTGAGATGTTATCAAGTAAGTCTAAAAACATGAAATTATTTAATATGTAATTTATTATTTATATTTATTATGTTTATAAAATTGACTTTTATACTTTATATTTTTAATACAGGAACAATTAGACAAAGCGCGTGAATTGAAGGACTGTATCGAAGAAGCTCAAGCTTACGGAAATCTCGGTATTGCTAAATTTAATATGGGATACTACGAGGAAGCCATAGGATTTTTAGAACATGTAAGCATTAAATTAGTAAATTAGATATGTATTTACATATAATATTCATTATTTGTTTTATCTATTCACATTTATTCATCAGTATGATAAATTCATCTACTTTGATTAAAAATTACTACATAGCATAAATAAATAATGAAAAATTAATTATTATTGTTAAAATTATAAACTGGGACACTTTCTTGCAGCAACTAGCACTACTTGAGCAAATACCTTCTCACTGTTCAACAGCTAACATATCTTCACAAGCCATTGTTGAACAAAAAGCGCGGGCTCACGGATCACTTGGTGATTGTTATTCATGCTTGGGCGACTATGAGGAATCTTTAAAGTGTCATGAAATTTATTTAAAATTAGCTTTGGAGAATTTGAAATGTGCGAAAGATCAAGAACGGGCATACAAAGGACTCGCGCATTCACATAAGTAAGAACAGCCAAGATTTTTTTTACATTAGTCGTTCTTAAAAAGTATAATATAATATTATAAACACCGATTTATTCCAAAATTATTTGATGACTATTTAATATTAAGATATCAAATAAATATAAAGTTCAAATAATAAATAATGATAATAAATAATATTTTCGCTATAAGACGGCTTTAATTAATATTATTTTTACAATTGCTTTTGTTTTTATTAAGGTCGCTTGGTAATTTACAACAAGCGCTGGTTTGTCTGGAGAAACGGCTAGTGGTTTCAGATCAATTAGGAAATTTACAAGAAAAATGTCTAACTTACGCTGATTTGAGTTTTATCCACAACTCTTTGGGACATTCGGAACAAGCTATTTCGTGCTTGGAGCATCAAAGAGATATTGCCAGGTGAAATATTTTATTACAATGTTTTTCAATATTTTATCCAAAAAATCCTCTATAGTATAATTTATCTTATTTTTTCTTAAACTGTATATTATTGATTATTTTTATAGAGAACTGAACGACAACACCATGATTTCCAATTCATTATCGGGATTGGGTCTCATGTATGAAAAATTAGGAGATCATGAAGCGGCATTGAAGTTTCACCAGGAAGATTTAAAACATTGTACAGATTTGCAACTAATAGATTTACAGGTAATTTACATGAAAATAATCTTTGTTAATGTTAGTTATTGTTTTATTTAAAGAAAAAAAAAAGAGTAACTAATTACGTATAAATTTAATAATAGTTAATTTTGACAACATCACGGTTTCTATCATTATTTTTTATATTGTTTTTTTACTTTTAACTCAAGAAGTTCAAAACTGTGTTTGTTCCTTACTAATCAGGTCTAATTTTTCTTAAAATATGCTCTATATAATTTCTCGCATGAGATTTAGTTCACTTCAATTTACTTTATTTGAACGCGTTACGGACCTTTCATCAAATCCTCGTTTAACGATACTAAAAAGATAGTTATTTAAAGTTTATTATGGTAATTATGGAACATTATTTGTCAAAATAAATTAATTATTTTTATTTCGACTAAAATGAATTTTTGTTTCAGATGCGTGCTTTGGGTCGCATGGGCCGCGCCTACGAATCTCGCCAAGACATAACAATGTCCTTAATGTGTCTTCAGCGTGCCCTTACGCTTACTAATTCAATTTGTCAAGAGGAGAAAGAAAACAGTGATATCAGTTTTCAATCAAATTTGAGAGGCAACCGAAAAAATATTAATAAAGACCTCTGCGAGACTCTGAGAACAGTTGGCAGAGTAATGTTATGCAAGGGAGATATTAAATACGCTATTAGGTAATAATAATTAAGTCACAATTTTGTATTCCATCTTTACAACTTGAATTACTTCTACAATTGTATAACTGTCTATAGTACAAATTTATGAATTCTAGTTTCAAATAATAATTATTGTTTGTATTTAACTAAAATCTTAATGGATAGTATTTATTAATTAACTACCCGAAGGAGAAGTTTATGTTTTCATCAAGAAATCCAATTATGCTAATTTTATGTTTTCTAGACGTTTCAAGTCGTTCTGAATCGAATGAGACTAAATTTGGAAAAAGTATGTGTGTGCGAGTATATGAACAGATTTTTTGCTGTAAATCGACATCTCAAAAACGGCTGGACCGATTTTAAAAATTTAAAAGCCATTCGATGCACCTCGATGAGGACTATTTTTTGTCAGTTTTGTGCGACGATCAGCCAAGCCGTTTCTTTATAAATAGCAGAAAAGTGAAAAAAAAATGAATCGATTATGAACATTCAAAAACCGTTCGAAAGATATTGGTTGGGACTCGTGCTGATTTGTTTTTGGTAGAGATCGGTTTTCTTATAATAAAGTGTTAAAAAAATTGTTTTCGACGATTATTATTATTATTTTTTTGACGGTAGATACCATAGTCTTATAGATCATACTAAAATATTACGGCCCTATGACAACTCGTTCAATTATTTTAGTTAATTGCTTGTAAATTGAAAATACTAACATTAGTGAAATAATCATGATATATTTATTTCAGATATTTAACGCAAGGATTGGAAATAGCTGAATCATTGGGCGACAAAGAAGAAAAGGTATAATTCCAATTTTATTAAATTTCCTGAGAATTTCCTTAAATATATTATTTTGTTTTATATTGTATTACACATTATTTTATCAGAAAGTATTTATATAATAATGCGTATGTTTCGCGACAACCTTGTTTTCAAAGATAAATAATAATCTATTAGTAATTTGATTTTCATAAACAGATTTTTAGGCATAGGTATTTTTATCAGCATAGGTATGTAAAATATATCTGCATCTAAACTATTTAATTTATTTAAAAATTATTTCTTATTTTAAACACTGTGTTTGCACACTAGTATCAATAAAAAAATAATTTGTATTGTGTAAAAATTTGCAATAATCAATTTTTTTCTTTCAGGCAAGGATGCGTTATAGACTAGGTCTAGCTTTACACCAGGACGAAGATTATGTAAATGCTTTAGAAAACTTCAAAAAGTCGATCGAATTATTGGAAACGTTAAGAAAAGCACATCGCACTCATGATAAATTAAAACAATCATATTATGATGTGCAAACAGATTGTTATTACGCATTGCAAAAAACTTTAGTAGGTCAGTACATTTAGATGACATCATCATGATTGATATTTTTGCTTTTCTTTATTTACACTATTTTTTATGAAAAATAATTTGCTAATGTATGTGTCTCAAATAATTTCAGCATTATCAAAATATGAAGATGCTCTTGTGATAGCAGAAAAATGTCGAACAAGATTATATGCGGATTTAATAATAGAAAAACAAAATAAAGCAAACGAAGAAACTAAATTAAACGATAGCTGTGATATTACTTTAAGTAAGTTTTTACTACATGGCTCAATGTTTGTTATTTATTTTTAAAAATACATTTCTAATTAATTATTTTGAAATATATCATTTTTAGGCACACTTATAGAAATAGTTAATCGACAAAAAGCCTGCGTACTTTACTATAGTCTTTTAGAGAATCATCTTTATGCTTGGTGCATCGTTCCTTTCAAAGGTGTTATGAAGTTTCATGATACTCCACTATTATCAGAAGAAAGTGATGAAGGTAATAAAATACTTCATATGTCTCTAAATACTCATTTTATATAGTATATCGATTTTATTATGTAATGAATGCATATGTTCAACTTTCCGAAGGAGAAGTTTATGTTTTGGTAAGAAAATCCGATTTGCTAATTTCATGTTTTCTTGTCGAAGTTGCCGCTTAACCGTTTTTAAAAGTCTAAAAACCGTTTGAAAAATATTAGTTGGTAATCGTCCTCATTAGAAATTTGGTCGAGTTAAATTTCTTTTGACAATTTTGATAAAACTTTTATGATGATAGAGTTTATGGTCTTAACGAGCATCTTAAAATATTATAGGCCTACAAAATTGATTTAATTATAAAAATTGATTAGTTTGTTAATGGGTCGTGTCACTATTTCAAGATTATATTGTCACAATTTTAATTGATGCTAAATCTTAAATTTTATTGATTTATTTGATTATTTTTAAATAATAATATTAAAATTATTTAATATCGATTTGAATGCTCAAAATTATTATTTTGATAGATTCTGGATTTACTTGAACAAAATTATTAAGCGGTTTTATATCATCATCTATAAATAATGTGATAATCGAAGTACCAATTGTACCATATAAAATTCAATTTCATTTGAATCGCATTATTATATTTAATTCATTGATTTTAGGTTCGCAATTAACCGCAAAAATAAAATTTCTACGAGAACATTTAATGACTAAAAATGCTAATAATCAAAATAATATAGAGGATATATCAAATCAGCCCGAAGAAAAATCTGGTTTCTTGCGAATGGTGAGTTAAAATCAAAATTATATCGTTTAATTAGAAATAATTTTTGAAAATACAAATGTATGTTTATGATTTATAATATTGATGTTAAAAATAATTATAGGTAAATAGGCATAATTTGCTGAATTCTAGCAATTATTCGCTCAGTTCCTTATTCAGCGTTGGTTCAGTAACTAGTCTTAGAGGATCAACACGATCTAGAGGATCACTTCATTTTGATACTCCAAATACTCGATTCGATAAAAAGTTACAAAATTCTACTACACATTCAAGTGCGCAGTCCCTGCTTGAAGATAACTTTTCTGAAAATAATCTTAGTTCAGAAAATAGGAATCAACATACAAAGTCTCTCAATGATACTTTATCGGCGCTGTATGATCTACTGATAGCGCCATTTGATGATATACTACAAGAAACAGGTATTAAGTAGCTTTTATTACTAAATACATATTTATTTGGTAGTTTAAAGACAAAAGTTTACATGACCAGTCGCTCAGCTTCGAATGATTTTTTGTGTTTAAATTACAACTTTGCTTCCATTCTTTAGAGGTAAATATTTTTATTTTACTTTAACTTTATATTTATGCTATTTACTTGTATTGTTTCTATAATAAGTAGATTGATTTTTTAGGTATCAAAATTCGTCGATTTTAGTTCGACGATTTGGTTTAAAACGACGCAAAATAATTCGTTAAAAAATATTATTCGAAATATTTATTTCATTTACTGTTTGATTTAAATATTATGCACCAAATATAAAAAGCTTGCGGTAATCACTCTTTAAGTTTAGAATTATTACCATTTTTGTTAGAAAATTTTCGTATATGGGTTGCAGTACCTAATAAATCATTGATTGATTTTTAATTTGATCGATTAAAAAAAAACTCTGTTATTATAATTATTCAAACCATGTGCATGTGATTCAAAAATAATTAAAATTAAAATATTTTCAAAATAGATACAAAAGAAAATAATGTCCAGAAGCGAGAGAAATTGATACTGGTCATTGAAAATGATCTGTTTGCCGTACCTTTCTCAATATTGCGAAACAAAAATTGTAGCACACTGGCTCAAGTAAATGAAAAGCAACATCAGTATTTGGGTGATCGTATTGATTTAATGGTCGTTCCGTATCTGAAAGTTTTGAAACCAACTGGACATAAAAATTCAAGGAAACAACTGGGAAATGGTATGTATTTTTGCTTAATTAACGTAGTAATTGTTTTAAGCTGCAAATATGATAAGAATAATTAATTTATAATTATTATATGTATTTAAAAGTATATTTAATCATAATGTGAATTATGACTGTTATTTTAGAGTCTATGAACGCGCTCGTTATTACAAGTCCATTATATGGTGGATCAAATCATGCTGGTTCGCAAAATATGAATGTGAGTTCAAGCCAGGATGCTTCAATGATTGCTGAGTTGTTACATTGTAAAACACTCACAGATACTCAGGTATGTGCTTAATATATACCTAACAAAAACTAGTAAAAACTTTTTTAAAATAAACTTGTATTTTCAGGCTACCAAAGAAACTGTAACTGAGGAAATGTACAACGCAGATTGCGTCCATTTCTCAGCTCAAATATGTTGGTCTTTAAAATCAATTGTCTTGAGCACGGGCGAGCCAATAGAAAATCAGGTTCAGGTAATATTTAGTTAATCAATAATTTTCTCTATACGTAATGAATTTATTTTATTTTTTTAGTTCTTATATAACTATTCACCAAATTGTGTTAAATTGTTCGGATTTACTATTTTTACCAAAAACAGATAATCAATTTATTTTTAATCTCTTGCTATACTTATGCATTATAACCTTTATTGCCAATAAAATTTTCTAATGTTGTATGTTATGTACAATATATTAAAAATGCTAAATCTAATAGCCAAATTTGTATTTGTTCAAAAATAGTTTAGAGCGAGAATTTTATCTTGCTGTTATTTTTTAAGACTAAGATATACAAATATATTCCCATAATTGTAAAAAATATAAAAATAGTCATTATTACATTACAGAGCTCAAGTCGTCGAACATTTAGTGGCGATGGAAGTTTAGAGATACATGAGGTAGAAATGAATCCGAATATATCATTGGGCGGTTTAAATGATGGTCTATTAAACACTAAAGATATTTCACAGTTACAACTCAATACAAAACTTGTAAGTAATTAAATATAATAATAATTTACAAAACATTATTTACTAGTACTCTACTAAAGGTAGGTACTACAAATATAAATTTTGATATTAAAAATGTTCAAAGAATTTGAATTTTGTACTATCGTAATTGTAAATTAAATAGGTTGATAATTTAATTTATTAATATTTTTGTAGGTTGTAATTAATGCCACGATATTTGATGAGACTGATGCGAATTATGATATTGTTATGAAAACTAATACAAATGCGTTATATGAATTATCAAGTGCTTTTTTAAACTCTGGTGTTCATTGCGTTTTGGTCTCTTTATGGCCAGCTAGTGATGTTGGTGCAGTAAAAATACTTTTGAAAACTTTTTATTCTTCGCTAATGCAAGGATCGAGAGTTGCTAGGTAAGCACACTTTTATTATTTTACATATAAGATGTATAATTACTTATGTAAATTATTTGTAAAATGTATTTTATTCAGAGCTTTATCAGAAGCTATGCAAACGGTTCAGTATACAAAGCAATTTTCGCATCCGGCAAATTGGGCTGGTTTCACATTAATGGGATCTAACATTCGTCTCTGCACAAAGGTAAATTCTAGCAATTAGACATTTCAGCACAAATATTAGCACTTTTACCAAAGACTTACACCAAAATATATTAAATGTTCTACAGGCTGCACAAATGAATGAATCTTTACAAGATATTTTATTACATCATAACCCGGAGCATTCAAGAAGGCAATGTTTGCGAGTGTGTTTGCATCTGGTTGAAAAGTCTCTTCAGCGAATTCACGAAGGGCGAAGAAATGCAATGTATACCACTTTAAGATCAATCGAGAACAAGACGACGAGCAGTGGATCTAAAAATGGTGATAAGGAAGAAACAGAAGATTTAACGAAGTATAATAATGCTGGATGGAAAAATTTACTGATTTCTGTTGGATTCAGGTATTATTTTTAGATTTTTATGCATATAGTTGAATATATCTTACAATATATAATAGCATGAGTTATATCATCTAATGATTTTTGTTCTTGTGTATATTTACACTACAGATAAATTTCTTATTCCATTTAGTTTGTTATATTTTGTGTATTATGTTAAAGTTACCTAACTATTAACTTGTGCCGAGCGTTGTTGTTTTCATGCTCATATCTAGTTTATACACTTGACCATTAAGTTTTTTTTTATTTCATTTATTAATTACAACTGTCTATAAATATGACATTTAGTAATTTTTTTGATTAATATAAATAGAAAGGGCATATCAGGCCCCACAGTGATGGTCCCAATATTATTGTTGTTAAACTAAAATAGGTTTGATCCAGACCATTAAATAATATGCGATAAATAAACTATAGAGTGACTAATTCAAAATATATAGCAAGAATGATAATCATTTTTTGCTCGACTTATGATTGATTATGATTGAATTATGATTGATTGCCTATGAATTGATTTTAAAGATTTGAGCCAGCTGCGAATGGTGTTCCTTCATCTGTATTTTTCCCACAAAGTGATCCGTGTGCACGACTCGCAAAGTGTTCTGGAATTTTACAGGCTCTTCTTGGTTTATCACATGCTTCACTGCAAGCAGTTCAGGTATTGTAAATGATTTTATAGAGTTTTTTTTACATCTAAATGTCGTTAGTTTCTAAATTTTTTGGCTAAATTTTGGCCTAATTTGTATTTAGGCCAAAATAGCAAAATACCGGATATGATAGTAGATAATATTTAGTAATTATCTTTATTGAAGCACCAAAAATTTTACGTATTTTTATATAGCATGGTCGATGAAATGTTTTCTACAGATATTCAAAAAATTAAATAAGTTTAATCAAATTTGCATTTTTGTAGTCATTAATAAACGATGAAACGAGATCAAAAAAATCAGCGAAGCTTAATTACAATAACACGCAACAAGAAGAAATTTCACAAGAAATAATTTCAGCTGTAAAAAAATGTTCCGAACAATTAGTGGAGAAGCAACCTGGCGATGGAATCGAAATTTCTTTGAGCGTCAGGTTAGATTTGCAATTTTCATAACCACTTTGTCGCTACAATTATATTGAAATTATAATTGTAATTATATCTTCTTCAGATCTTGGAGGATTACTGGCTGTCATGAATTATTTGCTTCGTTAGGATTTGATTTAGTGTCCGTCGGCAGTGATCGGATCAAATTAAGAGCAGGAAAAAAAGCTAATACAAGGCAGACACAGTTTGCATTAGAAGCACTTACAGCATTAATAGGTAAATTTGAAAATAATCATATTAATTTCATATTTAAATAAATTAGACAGTTTTGAAAAGTATGGTCCCATTCCTTAATTAATATTTTATTGTGTATAATAAGATAATATATTTTAATTATAGGAATATTTAATAACGATTCTTTAATTTTTTTTTTTTATTATTTTAGCAATTGCAGATGAACCAAAAAGTTTGAGTAGCAGTAAAAGCAGTTCAATGGAAAGTCTGAATAGTGATAACAGCATTTGTCCATATATATCAAATCAAAAAAATGTTAACCCGCAAACTTTAAATGGTAAATTAACATAAATATTTATTACAAAATTTACTGGATCATCATTTAATGGATTGATCATGTCTTCATTTATAATTTTTACAACGAAGGCTATAAATGAATTATTTTTTAACAAAATATTTATTTTTTAATTCTGTAGATGTGCATCAGCAATTAGATAAGTCAATAAGCAAGTTAAGTTCTGGAAGAGGCGCATTTATATCTTACGTCCGTGGTAGAGGCGAACCGGATGGTGGGAGCACCATCAACAGTCATGCCCCTTCGACCACTTATACACAAAGTCAGCTCAACTCCAATGTGCACATTCATCCGCTAAATAGTAATTCTCACATAAATCTACTTATAAATTCAGACAATAATCTGCACACGAACTCAAGAATTGCAACTGCAAATATAAAGAGCGTTGAAACTAAAGGCTTATGGAATGCTAGGAATCATTATATGGGTCTGAGCAGAACTGCTGTAAAAGTGAGTAATTTATGGGTTACATATCAGTGACAGCTTTTTGGAATTATATTATATAGTTAAATGACTTTTTAACATAATCATTTTTATATACCTATTTATATATTATATATTTTGTGTATTTGATTTATTTTGCATGTTTTTTTGAATATTTGAATAAATTTTTTATTAATGCTTGCTAACTAAATTATTTGCTTTATTTGTTAGCAATATTACACCATAATTTGAAATTTGTCTTTAGGTATGCAGACCAGGCGGAGGAAGTGAGAGTGATGCAGCATTCACCCCTAGCCCACCTGTTTTCTTTCAAAATCCGCACAGTACTATCACTAATAGTGTTGACAACGCCATGACTTCTGAAAATATCTTAGCAAATGACGTTCAAATAGCTCTTGAACACCAAACACGCATTCGATCTTTATATAACTTGCACCGAGAAGGTATATTTATTTCAAGTGAATTATATATACGCATAAATTGTTTCCGACCTTGAAGGACAATAATTTAACAACTTCTCACCAAAATGATTTGAAAGCACGTTTTCAATTAGTATAAATGAGTATTCATAAAATAATGAATCCTGATTTATTTTTATTTTTAACAAATTTACTCATTCAAACTTATAATTTAATTTGCTGTACTAATTTAAATTTTTTATTTATTAGATGTTCTGCCACCACTGCCGCCACCAAGACACGTCAATTCATATACAGATTTTATAAAAAATAAAAAATTAACCAAAGAAAATGATTCTGTAATAAAAAAACAAGAGTTTGACAACACATTTAATATCAAATTCGAGAAAGAAAATGCAGCCAAGTGCAATATGCATATCGCTCAACATACTTCTAATCCTTTATCAGAACAGTCAGAAAAAGATGATAGTTTCTCATCTAATGATTCAATCTGCCAAGTTAAAACATTGGTTAAACGGCAAGGTGCTCTAAAAGAAAATTCTAAGTTTTTGCCGGAAAATAGCATGCTTTCGCTGTCCGTTTACAACAATTTGCCATTAAGTGGTTTGAATTTTGAACCTTCAAATGCTGATGCTGATTTTAATATGAGATCCAGTAATAAGTCTGATATGCAAATTAATGACCGATTAAGTGTACGTACAAGTACTTCGATTAACGACTCTGGAAAAATGATGCAGCGTCATAAATTGCTTGAAATAGCAAATAACTTGACCATCGGTAATATGATTTATATTTTGAAAATAATATACTAACAGTCCGTGCATGCAATTAGTCGAATATTCTCATTATGAAAACTAATTTGATACAAATATTAATAAACTTTCAGTTTTTTGGCCCAAATTACTCACATACTTATATGTTAAATTTTGATCATGTAATATCGGATTTAATATTTGTTATTTACCAAAATTTCTATTCCTGTGTTTTCTAGTAATAAGGTTTTTGAAGTGAAACTATTTTTGGATTAAGGTAGTTACTTTATCGGTGAATATAACAAAAAAATCATTGTACAAATCATTTACCGTTTACTAATAATTGATGATAATCTCGTTTTTTATTTTTATTTTTTTATGTTTTTCTAAAACTGGACATTCGATTTCGTCTAGCAATAGACATTTTACAATAAATTTTATATAGTGTCTATATGGATAACAAACAAGTATGTTTATACATGCTCGAGATCTATAAAAACATTTTTTTTGTTTAGATAAAGATGGCGAGCCTTATAACAGCAAAGAAAAAGAATCACCTAAAGAATTATCAAATTCGAACACTTCATCACTAATACGACATCCGAGTCATGCTTTAACTCCTGCGATATCAGAAGTTTACCACGAGCGCAACATAGGATTAGGTCTAGCTCCTCCTTTATCAACTTTGCTTTTGACCAACGATTTAAAAAATGAAAATGACAAATTTGATGGCGAATTTAATGAATTTTTGAAAAGGGATGAAGGTGACGGTAGAAGTGTGGCTGATTCTCAATGCTCCAGTCATTACAAGGCATTAACAAATGGGTCGGAAAAAGCAACTGGTATGCTGAGAAAAATGCAAATGATGTCAATCAAGTCAAATTCTGATGCGAGTCCAGCAACAGAAGGAGCCGATAAAGAAAAGAAGGGGTCTAGTAAAATTGTCAAAAAATGTTTATACAGGAAGAAAAATCCTAATTAGTCGTTAGTAGAATGTAACGTCCCCAAATCCATCCAAGCGCAAGAAGGACTTTAGAATTTAATCAAGCTCCAAATATCTAAATACTTTATTTAGAGGTTTATAGTCAACTAGTGAAATCGATAAATCAAGATCAGCAAAAGATCTTAAGGTAAAGTATATTAATTGACTACTAAAATATGCGTTTTCCGAAATCGGACAATTTGAAGATAAAAGCAATTGTGAGCTTTTATAGCAAAGCGTATTGTGATTTATTTGTATGTTTTATAAAAGTATTTTTATTAAGTCCCGAATATTTTACGTATTTATTAGTTTTATATTGTTAATATATATTAGGATTTAATTTCCCTTTCGTCCGTGATATGTTTGACTCGTAAATTAAATATTATCACTTGGTTGATTGTATAGTTTATAAGTCACATTAAAGTTATTATCTAAGCAAGCACGTTTACTTCAACTACGTTCATTCACTAATAGAATTTAAAATATTTCTTGATAATTTATGTATAATATGTGTTAAATTATTTTATCTTATATATAAATGGAATCACTGCGATATGTATTTTGATATATCAATATTAGGATCTTAATATTTTTTTTACAAATAGTATAGGCACGTAAGTATATAAATCAAAAATTATCCTTTAATTATAATACTATTTTACATAAAATATTTATCCTTCTGTGGAACGATAGTAATTTAATGTATATTCAGAAATATATTATTGATAAGTGTATATTATATATAGAGTGTTTTTAATAATAATAAATTATTATATTATTAGTAGCTTATTAATCATTGTAAAACAAACATATGTTGTATTAAATATACTTAATTTATCTTTTATAGTATATTCTTTAGCCATGTGAGCCGGAATAAGTTTTATTGAGATTTAAATTCTAGCAACCACGTGCGTAGCTGGCTATAATTGTAATAAAAAAGACTCGATTTTAATTGTTATATACTTAGGACTCCTAAGTTAGGAGATTTTGAATATTTGACATTATATTTAATCAATGGCATGTAGTGCTTGATAAATATTTATGCTAGAGTTCTAGCAAATTATTCAATCATTTTCAAAATTGGCTAATAAACTGCTTATCATATGACGTTGCACGAGGCAATTAATGAAAATAATTTTGATGACAAAAGTGTCTACATAGTAAACAGCAGAAATTATGAAATAACTAGTTGGTATTGATTTTTTGCCTTGAGACCAGTTACATGAACTTACCCATATGTGTAAATAATCGACTTAATCAATAAAAAATAAATTCATTTATGAGTGATTAAAAGTATTATGAGTGGATTTATTGCACATAGTTGAAAACGAACAAACACGTTAACTCGGAGTATTTTCTGAAAGCAAATTTTCAAAAATAAATAATTTTTATAATTGAACCAGTTTCCATAATTACTTTGATTTTAATTGACTTTAATGGTTTAGTATGTTCATTAAGACCAAGTACTCAGTTATGCTAAGTGAATCGTCTAATTTTAATTTTAACAAACGTCAAAAATTTACTTATTTTCTCAAACTTTGATGAATTTTTAAAATTAAACTATTTGTCGAAGCCCGTTATATTTCAGTAAGTTCTATAAAACCATGATATATATCGCCAAAAAAAGATCCATAAAAATCGATTTAAAATTTTTTTTCAACAGTTAATTACAAGAAAACGGCTCGGTAGATTTTCACCTAAAACTAATCAGTATCATTCTATTCCAATTAATATCTTTTGAACAGTTTTTGATTTTTGAAAATCGATTTGGTAGTATGAGTTTAAATGTGAACAAAAGGTTTAACACTTTTTTCCAAATCACAAAAAAACAGCTCGGCCGATCGTCGCTGAGAAACGATAATCCTCATCGAGATACATCAAATGGCTTTTGAATTTCTGAAATCGGTTCAGGCGTTTTTGAGCAAACTTTGACGAAATGTCTAATTTTGGAAAATGTAAAAAAAACAATACTAATTTTTGCAAACTTTGTCGAATTTTTAAAGTTAAACGAGTTGTCGTAGAACCGTAATGTTTTAGTATGATCTATAAGACTATGGTACTTACCGTCAAAAAAATTATAACAAAAATTGTCCAAAAAAAAATTTCGACACTTTCTTACAAGAAAACGGCCCGGCCGATCTCTACCAAAAACTAATCAGCACAATTCCCAACCAATATCTTTCGAACGGTTTTTGAATTTACAAAATTGATTCAGAATTGCGGGCTAAAACGTGAACGAATTTTTCACTTTTCTGCTATTTATAAAGAAACGGCTTGGCCGATCGTCGCACAAAACTGGCAAACAATATTCCTCATCGAGATACATTTTTAATTTTAAACTAAGTTAAAATTAACACTATATCTTATGAAACAATTGAATAACGCATACTTAAAACTTATATCAAGGTCTTGTAAGCTCAACAATAAAGCCCACGATGAAAAAACTAACAACAAAAGAAAATACTTTTGCCATACTTTTGGATTTTTAAACATTGCTGTTTATCTTCTGATAGCGACGTCGTAAAAATTAAGGTGATGACTGGTTAAACATTTATTTTCTTCTATTTTCAAATATTATTGTTAAAAATTTCTTAACTTTACTTTTGAGATATCGCCGGACCTTTAAGCCCCGCTCTACCCTATTCGAATTCAATAAGCGATTTTTAAATTGCTGTACAAAATTCAAATCAATCATAAAAGTGTTTGAAAGCGGTTTACTCGAATGGTTTTAGTTAATGTTACGTGTCATTAAACAAAATACGAATTTCTCGGTAAGTGATCATGAATATATAAAAAACAAATTATTTAAGTAATAAATGATAAAACTAATTTTATACTTGCATATTCTTGGAGGTGATTATCAATAATAAAGTAATGCTTTTGATAATTAATATCAGTAATACATATTGTTCGGTGATTTATTCTACAAAACAAAAAATAATATTTATCATTTAGTGCCGATTTATAAACAAGAAATGAATTATCATTCTTTATTAATTATTATTAGTGTTAATTATATATTATTATTTATTACCAACAATAATTAACTTAACTATATGGTATAAATTAATTGTTTATGTTTTGAGCTTTTAATTACTACTTCTCAATTACTAATTGCAAGGACTTATGCGATCAGTTACATAAGCTAAAAATAATTATAATGCGAATTTATTTTTGTACAAAAGTGTTTTGTATATTACAGAAATAATCTTATTAACTTCCCGTAGGGTAAGTTATAGTAATCGCAAAAAATCGAAAATGAAAATTTTTATATATCTTTACGTTTCAAAGCTTTCTGAATATTTTGGCATACCTTAGAAAAAATGAATATATGTGTGTGTGTGTGTGTGCGGATACAAATTTTTGTCGACGATTTTGAGAACACCGATCAACCGATTTAAAAAATTAAAAAAACATTCGATTCGTATTGATAAGGAGATTTGCTGATTAGTTTTTGGCGAAGGTAGGTCTAGCCGTTCCGAAGATACCGGGCAAAAAGTGCCAACGGTAACTCAGTTTTTAAGAGAACGGAGCGTCCGATTTTAATAATTCAAAAAGCATTTTACTTGTATTGACAAGATGAAGAATTGATCAAATTTTCAATATTGGTATGGAACCCATAGGAATGTAAACAAAATTTATACTTTTTATTGAAATCTCTATAAAATATCTCATAATTTAATGTGCATATGTCTAATGATCATTTTTGACCGCCAAATGGCATTTTTTTTTTACTTTCTTCATTAGATCTCCGAAACCACTAGACCTGTCTTTAAGAAAATTTGATCAATTCTTCATCTTGTCAATACAAGTAAAATGCTTTTTGAATTATTAAAATCGGACGCTCCGTTCTCCTAACATGAATAGATAAACATATGTTCATCTATTAGACGGCGACGCAGCGCTTACGCGCTTTGAAGTTTTGTCTCTATGCAGTTAAAGCAGTACGATTGCTTTGAAAAAAAGTTCAGAATTTCCAAAATATGTCAAAATAAAAAAAAACTTTTTTTTTCAAAAAAAAACATTTTTTTTCAAAAAAAGTAATTTTTTGTCAAATTTATGGTTTCTCAAAAATCTATTTTTTTCGAAATAACTTTTTTTCAAAAGTGTTAATTGTTTCTAAAAAAATAATAATTTTTGGTACGCAAAGTTCCAGCAATTTGCCTTAAGGCACGATGCCATGCGCCCCACTAGTTAAAATTCTTAACGCGACTAATTTTATGTCTCGTCAAAGGATTTTTCTGTCTGGACATAATACTTGAACCAAAGCTATACGCTATAAGCTATAAGCTATATATGTGTAAATGTATGATAATTTCTCCAAGAGACATTGGACGTTGTGGGACATTGGAATTACTGAAATAATATTAATTAGTTAAAAAATCTATTAAATAAATATAGAGTTTACATCTTACAAATTAACATTTATTTACATAATTTGGCATAATTTATTAAATTTGTCTACCTACTTTACATAATTTTAGTTACAATATTGATATTTAATTACAATATGATATTTAAAATATAACAGCACACAATTAGTAACACAATAAGTACAAAATGTACTGTATAATTTTTCATATAAAATTTTTTATATTTCTTTAAATTTGTAGAATCTCCGACTTCTATTCAATGTCGACTAGTACCGATTTAGAAGGAAAACGATGGATCCAAGCAGACAGATTGGTATGGCCCTATGAACAACCCATGGAATACAAAAATAATATGGTAAGTCTTGATTCATTTTATCGTGATATTATTGTATTTATAAGACATAATGATGCAAAAATATATATTGGCCCGCGGGTAAAAAGGTCCACAATAACTAATCCATTCTTAATAATGTTAGAAAATTTCTAACAAAAATGTTTAAAAATAGAGGGCAAAAGAATTGTATTAAGCAACGTCGCTATCTAGATATAAAGGCCAATGTTTGAAAATGTATATGGCAGACAAAATCTTAAAGGTTCGCGGGTAAAATGGTTCACCACTATCCCATATCCCAAAAACAAGTAAAGTTAAAATTTCTTCAACA